TAGTGCCACTTTTGTAAGTAACCACGCCCCCGTCAAGGCCACGCCCTTTCCGCTTTTTTCATCGCTCGCCATTGCCATCTATGTATACACACACACACACACACACACACACACACACACACACACACACACACACGCATACAAATGCATACAAATACATACTCTCTGTCTAATTTGATCTGCGATTGGGCGCCCCCTATCAGGAAATGACCCAAGAAAGTCACACAAGACTGTAAGTTGTGGTGTTAGACATACGAATGAGAAAAAAATGAATACTAGCGTGATGGCAAAAAACCGACAAGTTATCAGTTGATAGGGTTGACCAAATTCGGACTTGCCTCTCTGGAGATGCTTTGTCAGACCTTCACTGCAGTCAAATTATGGTTACATTTACTGCACCAAGGCTCAGAATAACTCTTTTTCTTTGAAGAGCTTTTTTTTTTTTTTTTTTTTTTTTTTTTGCTGGTGATTTGCATGACAGTATTCAAGCATCCTACTGATAGTAGTGCCACGCTAATGTGCTTCAATTCGACTGATGGGCTCACACACGAGACGGCCCTGATTGCTTATGAGGGACACACAGAGAGGCTGCCGCACTCCCCGCCATCTGAGTCCCGTATCAAAGCAGCAGAGGGAAAACAAGCTTTCAGTCGCAGTGGCCACTCGGATGATTTTTAAAAATATTCGGAACAGTATTGATGAGTGACGGCCGTAACAAGCTAGCGTTTACTCAGTGATTCCATAGCATTCTGTAGCTCTGCATTTTGCCTCATAAATACCTGCCCATTCTCGGTTTTGCATTTCAATGTGTTCGTTTGAGGGGTAAAATAGAAATTTTATATCGCAAAGATTAATGTGAAACCTCTTATTTCAACCCATTTTTACCATTAGGTCAACTGCCGTACTCTATTTTAAATGGCTGCAAGACACACAAGGAAAATCATTTTGGTGGAATCTCAAAGCTGAAATTCTCCATTCATCGCCATGTTTCAAAAGTTTTACTATGTGTTGTCGCTGGCAGGTTTCAAGTCTACTTGGTAACATCACAGGACCGGGTCAATTGAAATTTCTTCTTATCCATGGCACAGCAGATGGTGAGTAAAGCTGCAGAAGCAGCTCTGACTCAGGAAGCATTGTGCATGCTTTACGTTGCATTTGGACTTGCTGAACCCAAACTGCTTCAGAGAGTTAGGCCTTCTTCATTTGGCTCATCTGTGTTGTATCAATGTGTTTGTTCAAAGATGGAAAGAAATACATACGTATATTGGCTTACATATCAAAAATCTCAAAATCATCTTGACGTTTTCAGGCGGTGAGTAGGGCGGATTTAATGTCCCATATTGAAACAAATTAATGTTTCATGCAAATTTGAAATCATTAATTATGGAAAGGGGGCATATGATGGAAAATTGGCTTGGTAATTGTTTATACAGTATGTAAATACAGTGATGCCATGTGATATCAGTTGACCCTTTCAGGGACAGCGGTTACTACAGTGGACAGCTTATCATGTTATCATGTTACAGGGCGCACGAAAGGGTTAATTTGATCCACGACTAAACCTGTAACGCAAACTGCTCATATTAATGCCGGGAACATCGCTAAGAGTGGGCTGAAGGGCCCCCTCAGGCTGGGTCAGATTAGGTGGGCCACCTGTCCTCAGTGTCCAAAACTTTAATTCAAATTCTGGAGCTTGAAGCAAAAGGCTAAGTTCCTGTGGTGTCCGTCAATTACAAAAGTCCCCTCGTGTCTTGAGTCAAGAAATAAATCTAACAGGGAAAAAGAAAGACTCTATTGTCTGCGATGGGCTGATCGCAAAGGATTTATTCCACCAAGTAGAAAAATCCATGCACAGACTGGTTAACAATGTGCAAAATGCAGGATTATATTCTGAAATCTGGGACAACCCACTTTCTCTGATTAGTCCAGTCTTTGTCAAACCCTGTGCCGTGGCACACTGGTGCGCGAGATACAGTATTGTCAGGTGTGCCGTGGGAAATTATCCGATATGTATGCCTGTGCGGTCTGTCTTCCGGCAAGGTAATCATATAGTACTCTTCCATACCAATAGCAGCAGAAGCTAGCTAATTGCCTTATGCTTCGAGACAAGCGAAGTTTTCGGCACGAGCCAATACAACGAAAGCTCTCTTTCATTTGGATTTACTTTTAGCGGAGATGCAGCGTCACCAATGTTCCATCTAAACTGCGCAACTGTGCACTGGTCGCATACTCTCAACGCACAAGAAAACCTATCCAGCGCAGTGAACGCACTGCAAATGAATTAGATAGATAACTTTTTTTTCTGTATCAATTTGCTGTGTAATTCAGTGAGTGACAGGTGTCCAGCCAATCACACGATACGATGCAATGACTCAATGCAGCCAATCACGGCATTGATAGTACTTGCGCATGTTCTCTGCTCCATAACAATAACAGTGCGGCGGCGATAAGTAACGCAAATGCTAATCCTTTACCATGGCGAAACGACTGGGCAGTGAACGTGATACGTCGACTCCCCAAACCAAAATAAGAATGAACTGCGGTTCTTTTAAGTTGGAATGGCTGCCGGAGTATGTGCAAATAGAAGAACAAGCAGTGAAACTGGGTGAGATATTTTCTTTTTCGAATGAGAAAGGTTTGCTCTGCAAAACATGGAGCAAAGCTAAAGTTGTAAGCAAATTTTCCGATGGAAAAATATGGACTAAATGGAAGCTGGTCAACCTCGACCGACACATTCAGCAGAAAAGCCATTTGAATTATGTTGGAATTATACAAAGACTCAAGATGGGAAAAGGGAATGGTACAATATTGCGGGAGAGCGCAAACTACTGGGAGAAAAAGAACCGGCTGTCACACAGAAAATGAATGAATGCACCAAATATTGGTTTGACTCCTATTCAATGTGTTATAATATTGTATTATTTTTAAAAAATGTTTAAAAAAATGCTTAGGCGTAGAAAAAAAAAGTAGTGTGTTTCCGGTAACCCGACCAACCGAGAATTTCTACGTCGAAAAAAAACTTTACGGTCGGCATTTTTTTCAAACAACTCTCTACATTTTTGTGGAGAGGGTTTACATCGGTGCAAACTCTCGCGATATTCACGTTGAGCGCGTGCGTCGTTTGCCCTGTCGTCTGTCAACAACATTGAAACATGGCGGCGGCCGCGATCTCCGACGACAGTTTAAACCGCGTTTTCTGTGTTACAGTCGCATGCTCGCATCCATTGATGTATCGAAAAAATTTAGCGAACTATTTGATGAACACCACGGGCCGAGTAAAAACCGAGGGCAGAGGAGGACAGCGGAGGCGGCGGCGCGCCCCGGCCCCCCCGAGTCCGGAGCGGGGAGAAAACTAAATAGGTGGCGCCGGCCGCATAGCGGCGGCCTTCAATGTCTTCTTGTTTTATGTTTTATGGTTATTTAGTTAAAATTTTTGATGGGGGAAACAAAAAAAAAGATTAAAAAAAAAAAACTTTGTCCGACCTACCGACCCTATGCTGAAATTTCATGTTACCGGAAACACACTATCCTTGTTATATTGTCCTTATCGTGACAATATAACAAAGACTTAATTGTTAAAATAAGCTTTTTTCACATTTTCAGGTAGTGGTGTGAAAGAAATGTGCCTTGGCTCAAAAAAGATTGAAAAACACTGGATTTGTCAGTCTGGTATCGGCTATTTTATAATTGCGTCATGGCGCTGACCATATTTGTTTCATAAAGGTGTCATGATTACGAGCTAATTGTTTGATGATGTGTCTCTATCCGTGTTCAGTTCAAGACCATAAGTGATGTTTCGGTGATGATTCCTTATGTTACAGTTTCATTTTCAGGTTCACTTTCACTATGGTTCCACATTCCTCCAACTGGAGTTGGACTCCAGAATTCTTACAATTATAATTAAAAAATAAATAAATAAATACATTTAAAATTCAAACATTTAAATAAAAGATAAGGGAGCAAAAAGGTTTGAGACAAAATATAGTATCCTATTGTTTTAGTGTCTGTCCACGTGTATTGCTCCACCATTTGTATTCAAATATCACTTGCTTAAGGGTTACAACAACAAAAAACTACAGGTAATTCATATTTTCATGCGTCACATTAAACCTTTTATGAAACAGTTTTGCCATGATGGGTTAGTTAGGGTCACACAAGATCTCAAGCCTTATAGAAAAGTGCCACACAATCAGCTGATGTGGTGTAGTTCTCTCGGGCAATGTTTCCCAATCATTTTTTGTACCATGGACCACTTTGACAAAAAGACATTCTGACGGCTCAGTTAATATTCTCAGTGCAAATGTAAATCTGCACCTCTGCTTGTAAAATAAGTAATCTACAGTGGGCATTGATTAAATTATACACGTGGCTTAGGTTTAGAAGAGTTGCCGGCATGCAAGCAGGCGTTCTACATGCAATAAGATAAGATAAGATAAGATATCCTTTATTAATGTCTACATCCTTCCACTCACTCGTGCATTTCACATCCCTCAAATGCCATATGAACACACTGGGCCTTTTATTTTATGTGGCATTGCGCACCTGTGGTCTGAAAATCCATTTCTCAAGACTGGGTGATTTTTTTTTTTTTTTTTTTTGTTTTTGCATATTGAAGTTGAGCTGCCAAATGCTAGGCTAAAGTGCGACAGCAGTCAGCTCCCTACAATGCTTGGAATGGCATACGTACTATATGTAACTGCACTAATGTAAATGACCATCACCGTTTTTCGTTTTGTTTTGATGCTCTTTTGTTCTTATCTCACTATTGTAACTGTTATCAGGCGTGAAATTATGATTACTTGTGTATTTGTTAAATAAATTTTTCTTTTTTTTGTTTTACAGCTTCTGTTCATTTCCAGCATTCTGCCGAATTGATCAAACTTCTGTCTTCATTTAATATTAACTACACTCTTCAGGTGACTTAACTTCTCTCTATTAACAATGAAATTTGTTGATCTTGTATTTCTATTAATATTTGGTATGACACCTTTATACTGAATGTAAGACTTTTTGACTGTCAAGTCCAACATCTGCGAGCCTCGTATGAGGTAGGCAAGATCGGGGACAATTGTAACATTTTTGATATTTGTGTCTCTAACTTTGCCCTTTTAGGGTGTTCAAGGTGCTATGCAAACTAGCTTCAAGAGTATTAATGAATGGCTTGAAAAATGCCTGTACACAACAAATAGCAATAGCATAACATAATGTCAATTACAAGGAATGAAAAGTTCCAATTGACCCCATGGTCCATGTCAGTTGTACAAAGCAGCATCTTGGGGTGAAACGAAACATTAGAAAATCAGCCACAATAATTCCAAAACATTTTTAAAGCTTTTTGTTCAAAACATTTTTAAACAAGATGTTGTTCCTGCATAGTATAGCAGTGGTCCCCAACCCCCGGTCCGTGGGTCATTTGGTACGCGGCTACACAGAAAGAACAAATAACTTACATTATTGCGTTTTATTTATTTCACAATCTGAAAGATGTTTTATTTTGAAAAATTACCGGATTCTCTGTTATATCCGTCTACAGTGTGTCACTCTCGATGCAGGCCAAATCACGCTTCTCGGTCATGTGATAGGTTACCGCTAAAATGAAAACCAGGAGCGCCTTAAAATCCGATGCACCTTGTGTATGGTCATGTCGGTAATAATTCGACCCCAAAATGGCTCCTTGCTCGAGACATGCTGACAGTTCAAACTTAAGGTGATCGGTTACGCAGTTGAACATAGAAATAGAGCAGCGGCAAGAGAGTTAAACGTTAATGAGTCAATGTTATAACTTGCCTTTGGTTAAGTGAACTGTGTCGCTGCTTTATTAAATAAGTTTTAGTGACATCTGATTGTTCTGTTGGCATTTCCTTGAGCGTAGCTCCATCTAGTGGATGCATTGTAGATTGCGTCTTATAATGCCCAATGTATGACAAAAATTACAAAATAGGCCATTCATTGAAGGTGCGCTTCATAATCCAGTGCGTCTTTTAGTGTGGAAAATACGGTAGTAAAAAACAAACGTCTTTGGGAAGGGGAAAAAGGCCCAGCCAGGAAACAGAGGAGGAGCCTACGACTTTCAAGAAAAAGTTAGACGGCCCACCGAGGGGCCCTCCATCATCTGTCAAAACAAATCGCTGATGCACGTCGTCAGCTGAGTACATGTGTGAACATGTTTATATCTTTTAAAAGCTGAGTTTCTGGAGATTCGAATGGTGCCCAACATTTTACAATTGTCAAATTTGAACTGGAACTTGGGGAGACCTCAAGCTTTGATCCTGTAGTGTTTTCAAGTCCTAATCAACATTCTAAATTCATTTGCAAGGCAGATTTTGTGAAAAGAAATTAGACGAACATAAGATTCGCCTTTTTTTCTGTTTTCAAACATTCATAGTTCAGTGACAGGAGCACTTAAACACATTCTGTTTGGGAGAAATATTCAAAATGATAACATTTTGAATATTTCAAAAAGAGACCAAAACTATGCTTATACTCCAAATGGTTCAAGAACAGCTACAAATTTACTTTGGGTGCACCTTTTTTCAGGCGTTTTCGGCAAAGTTGCCCTCAGCCTAAGGGGTTTTAATGGACAGTACTTAAAATATGGATTGATCTCAACGGGAGATTCCATGCACCAAGACAACTCTGCATAATATGCGACGATCGTGAGTCGTATTTTTCATGCACTTTGTATTTGCGGTGTATCCTATTTTGAAGGCAAACTTTAAACATTACCATAGCGACCAAAGAGTGTTGCGGCCAGATAGGACGTTCCTCGTGTCATGATTCCTGTTTGTTATTATGTCTAGAAAATACCACAGTTTTCATGCAAGTCAAATCATATTATTTTGTTGTATTTATTCGTCACACCTTAAATGCCGGTCCCTGAAAATATTGTCTGACATTATACCAGTCTGTGGGGCAAAAAAGGTTGGGGACAGCTGGAGTATAGGACTTTAAACACACTAAGATATGAATCTTTATCAGAATGTAATTGTCCAAAAGGTGCCACAGGGCACTTGGTATAACAAACTTTGGGCAAGATAATTGCTGTTGTTCACCTTTTTGCGACTGAACTAAGTTCAACTTCAAGCAACAACCAAAACTGATCAACTAGACAGTGTGCTTAATTTTCACCGTGTTTGATGATTGTGGAAGAAATATTCAATATTTTTTCGGGGTGTTTGACATATGACATTGAAGCTTGCACTCGCCAATGAACCGACACACCAATTAAGTGTCCCAGTGCTGATTCATGATCCTGGCAGAGTGAAACGCTAGCGTTGCAGAAATACAAATGACTCGTGCACTCTTGCTTGGATTTCAAAAAATAAAATAAAATCATCCAAGATGAGTGAACATGATTGCACAAGTGTCGAAGGGCTGCTTCTCATTCCCCTTTGTCACGCTGGCTGATCCTGATGACTCCTTCAAACTTCTTCTGCAAAGGTTAATGGAGAAGGCGGATGTGAAAAATTCAACCTGTGAAGGGAATTCCTTTCAGTTGCATACCTGCCAAACCTGAATCTATTGAATAATAATAATAATAATGATGAAATAGAAAAATTAGCATTTATTTCTCCCAGATGATTGAGAGAGTGCACCGATGAAGTTCGACCCGCTGAGACTTGACACGTCGGTTGCCCTTTTCCATATTTTGTATCCATAGGGAGTCCGTCTTACAAAGGTAATGTTTGTGGATTTCGCAAATGATGATGGTGTAAAACGTGTTCTCAAATTGTCGTTAACTAGATTTTTCCAGATGAGGGACACAATCTTGCATCTGTCAAGAGCCAGCGCTATATGCTCAACTCGGTGGTCACCTTCTTCAAAAACTGCTTTGAGGACGAGAAACGGGTTGTGGACCAGAAGAAATGGAAAGATGATGACTAAGATGGAGATCGACCTGCCGGCAAAGTTTTGTCCAGCTCCAAGAAATTAGCACCTGCTTGCATGAGCCAACACTTTTGCACTCAGTCCTGAAGTGCTGCTATCTCCCGAAGCAAGGATTTGTGAAACATCCTGCCAAATAGAACCCAACCCTATTTTTTGCTTGACGCATGACCATTTCGTTCCCTATGTTTTGTCGCATTAACCTGGTTGTTTGTCATGATATTGTGTTTGCGTAAAGGACCCACTGAAAAGAAATGACACTCATAACGAGAAGGAAGTTCCTAGAACATATGACTAGAATGAAATGGTAATTCGACAAGAATCAAGTCATCTTACAAGACACATGAAATGTATCTAGAATAAAAGCTTGATATGACAGGATGAAAAATGTTTTCTATTGAATGAATCATCAACATTTCTGACAGTATTTCAAAAACGTGACCAACGACTGTTGACACCTCCAATGTTGAAAACCATATTAAAAATTGATCATAATCATAATCAGAATCATCTTTATTGGCCAAGTATGTAGAACACACAAGGAATTTGTCTCCAGTATAACACGCTGCATTAGTATCATCATAAAAAGGACATGACAAATAAGTATGGGAAAATAAGTATGGAAGGACATTCCGTGATGTAAGTGAACCGTAGTGCGGCGGTACCACCCAGTAACAACTGTCAGACAATGTGCAAAGCAACAAGCAGAGCTAAAGTGATCAGTGGTAGAATAAAATACTATAACAGTTTTACAGTTGGTGCAGAAAATCATTGAACCATTTTAAAGTGACCAGTAGCAGTATTTGTAGTACAACAAGTGTGCAATTGTGCAGATGTCCTTGAGCGCTTTAAAGTGTCTGGTGCGGTGGAGTATACGTCAGTGACAGTGGTTCAAGTAAGTACAGAGCTGGAGCTACAATGACTATAGCGGCAATGCTGTTCCACAGGGTTGTGCAAAATTGCAAAGAGCCACTTTTACAGGTAGATTTGGGTTACTGTTTAGGGAGTTAATGGCTCGAGGGAAGAAGCTGTTTAAGTGTCTGCTGGATTTGGTGCGCATGGATCGGTAGCGTCTGCCTGAGGGGAGTAGCTGGAAAAGGTGGTGGGCAGGGTGCGGTGGATCCAGTAGGACTTTCCGTGCCCTTGTCTTGATTCTTGATTAGGTCGGGGGTCGGCAACACTCGGCTTCAGAGCCGCATGAGGCTCTTAAGCCCCTTCTAGTGGCTCCCTGGAGCTTTATAAAAAATGTTTGAAAATGGAAAAAGATGTAGGAGGTAAATTTATTTTTTTGTTTTAAATATGATTTCTGTAGGAGTAAAAACATGAGACAAAGATTCTTAACGTTTCGCAATGATTTAAAAATGTGTAGAATAAATATTACATTTCAACGTTTCTGTCAACGAAGATTTGCGTCATGCAAGGCAGGTGGCTGTTGCGAAAACACAAAGGAAAAAAAACAAAACAATTTTTTTTTTTTTTAAACGGCGTTTCATGTACAATTCACCGAGGGTACTGGCAAAGAGAATCTGGAGGGCCGTGAAAAGCATTTTTAAAACGGTACACGTGAGCTACAATCGTCAAAAACGCTGCAAAAGTGCGTCCCATGCCTCCGCATCAGACGTCATGCGCCTGTAGGTGTGTTGTGTATGCGCAGGTCGATCACGGTGGGTTGGTTGAATGAAAAGTAGATCTTCGGTCAAAAAAGGTTGGGCACCCCTGCTCTACAGAATGCCCTGCACGGAAAAAAAACTAAAACATTTAATCATGAAGGCTCATCGTTTAAGTGTAGCAAACTTAGTCATTTTGATAGTAGGCTAATATAGCTCTTAAAGATATAGATACATGTTGCAGCTCCGAAAAAAGGAGAGCTGTGGTGTTGGTTTTTTACACTTTATTTATTCTTTTAACAGTCTCGACAAATACAGACACGTTTGCGGCGGACTCGGTGCCTCCTCTCCTCTGGTTCGACTCGAGAGGCGTTCAAAGACAGCCTCCGGAAATTAATGGTCACTTCAACGACACTAAGAAAAGCGAAAATAATGCAACAAAACAGAAAATCAAGCGAGGAAATCACGCAATAAATTCTATGGGGGCGTTTGTGAGCACACAACAAAGGAATGAATAACAGAAACAATTCTGACAGTCCAGTCTCCTACATACATACATCATGTGTTTCCGATAAGTTTTATAGAAGGCTTTCATTTTTTTGCGGCTCCAGATATATATATATATATATATATATATATATTTTTTGTCCTATATGGCTCTTTCAACATTTTGGGTTGCCGACCCCTGGTTTAGGTGGTCCCCATAGAGCTCGGTGCGGTCGCCCGGGAAACGCCCGTTCCCTCTGTTCCCCGCCGGTCCTCCGTTGAGCCATGCGCTCATCGCTGTGACTGCTGGAGGCGTAGCTGGACAGTGTGTTCCTGCCGGAGGGGTTGGAATACTGGGTCGCACTCTTTGAACATGACTTTTGCGAGATTCTTCCATATCAACACGTTTCAAAAAACCACCTCGCCCTTTTCAGTGTTTCTGTTACCAGATTGCTATCGTGCAATTTGCATTTTGTGCATTTCCGAGGGCAATGGAAATACAGCTACTGAAGTTATTCTAATTTCCAAGCCAGCCATACAAAGAGCCGCGACTGAATGAGACGGAACTCAACAATCACATCCAAATTAAAGCTGGCAATTGACCCTCACACCTGCTGCCGATTCGGTGAAAAAAAAAAAAAAAAAAAAGCGACCCCTGGCATTCTTGTCGGGAAATGTTTGAAAGCACCACTTTTATTGAACTTCCAACAACTTGGGAGCAATTCTAAGAAGTCATGCCGTCTTCAACAGTGTGTGGACTTTCACTTTTCTGTTTGAGCTCCAGTTGGCACGAATCATTCAAACATGACGGTGCACACCACATATCAATCAGGTCTTTCTACTGTCCAGCCTGACATTTTCCATTGGCCGCAAGCATCTGTGTTAGTCGCATCGCATCGTAAAACCTTTCCCCCAGTGTGACGCCGTACACTTGCGATTGGATGTGGAGTTGGCAGGCGGTTGGCAAGTCATGAAAACTAGTTGCAGAACTACACACACCGCAAAATAGGACTTAATAGTTAAATTCCATTTATCGGTAGTCCCCAGCTGTAGTAAATGTCCAGATCAAGAGAAGTTACACCATAGCTTGTAAAATGACAGAATCCTTCATCACATTCGTGTCGTTCAAGTAAATTTCGTTAATTATGTTTGTACAATGCTGACTCAAGACACTTTTGTTTATTCATTTTCTTTTTTATTATTTTTCTATTTATACCCATTGCTAGAGGACAATCACAACAACCCCAAGACCACGACCCCGTCCTTTCCCTTTTTAAAAAGAAGGGGAAAAAAAAAGATCAGGCAATACAAAATCCATTCTAAGTAAATTATCGTGGAGATAAAACCTAAGGGAAACAGAACCATACGATACATCCAAGTCAACTCAATGAATTCCCTTTGGACTCAACTTTCTACGAGACATCTCAAAAATATATTTATGTACACACTTTGCTGTATTGTACTGTACAAAATGTGCCAAACCCTGACACATTTTCAGGAGACATGCAAACACCTTGTTGATACTGAAAAAAAAAAAAATCCATTTATAACTTCTATTTTGATACATTTTCAAATATTAGGTCTTTGGAGAATATCTTGAAAAAAGAATATGCACCACTTTTGAGATGTGACTGCCTGCATTCGTATTCAATAACAGATCATATTCTGAAATGAATTATTACTGCATGGCCTGGTATTTACTACCTTCATGTAGAAACTTAATGGAGACCGTATGGCAGACTGAGAGTTTTAGCTTTCAGATCCTAAACTTTGTCTATTTTCTCAAACACCTGAGTTAACATCGGTTTAAATGACACTGCTAATGCAAAACGATCACTGCCCGCAAGATATATTACAGTATGCTGAACCTCATAAGGCATTGTACATGTCTACACAAAAACCCCTGTACAATAAATGTGACATAGAGAAAGTGTTTTTATGTCAGGGGCAGTGGTGGTGGTGGGGAGGTGGGTTACAGTAGGAATTGCACTTATTCAGGATCTGAGTGGCTGGGGAGCATTTCTTTGTGCATCAATACATAGCCTCTTTTCATTTTCATTCATTGCTCAGTTGTATCACAGTAAAACAGATTGGCTATTTTTCTGATTTCATTAAAACACTTTGTGAACCCATTCAACGACGTTATGAAGGACGTTGGAGTTTGAATCATTCTGTGGATTGTGTTAGCACTGCTCACCCACGTTATAGGCATCCATCTATCCATTTTCCAATCCGCTTATCCTCACAAGGGTCGCGGGGGGTGCTGGAGCCTATCCCAGCTGTCTTCGGGCAGGAGGCGGTGGACACCCTGAACCGGTTGCCAGCCAATCGCAGTGTTTTAGGCATGCCTTGCTCAATAGTTTCTTGCACATCGATTGGAACAGGTGCAGCCGCATTTCAGTTTGTGATCACCCCCCCCCCAAAAAATATTTCAACTTTTCACCAGAGACTCTAGTCAATGTTGTGATCCAAGAAAATAAAAAAAGAGGTAAGTGGTGTTCTCTCAATCGACACCACAGAAGAGAGAAGGGTAAAGGGAACGAAACAGATCCATGCAACTGTAACAATGGTGAATGACCACAAGGGATCTCGCAAAAGACGAGGAAGGGTGTTCAGTGTGCTTTGACAATAATTGCAGTGGAATTGAAATTTTAGAGGCCCTTTCCTATCTCAAGTCCACGCTGTAAAAAGTGTCCCTGTCATCATTGGTGGCCAGAAGTTGTCTTTCTATTTCACAAATGTGCAATCGCACAGACTTAAGCGCATGAGCAGCTCTAAAACTCTACTGTCCGTGTCCATCTAAAATGTGGTCCGACTGCACAAAGACCTCCTGCCTACTCCTCCTCCTCATCTTCATCATCCGTCAGTGGGAGTAACTCCTCCTTCAGGCATTCCCTGTAGAAGCTCGTAAGAGTGGCGTACAGGTGCTGGTTGCTTTGATGGGACAGGAAATGGCCTTCGTCTGGGTACAGCTGGTGGGAAGAATGCACACGAGTCTTACAAGATGAAGCATGTTGGGCGTGCCGATTAAGGTACCCAATAAACACCATGTACATCCCGCTGTTAGGAAAGCTGCTATGAGAGGTAGTCAACAAACACATTTGTCACCTGGCCATCTGCTTAGCACTGCACAGCTTATAGCTAGCCCTAAGGAGCATAAACCAGAGCCACATGGTAGATAAATAAACCCCACTCACAGGGGGAAACAGTAAAGTGGATCTTCAAACAACATGCAACAACGAATTGAACCCATAATTTCCAAACGTTTGAAACAATTCCTCCCGCTGACACAAACACTTATTTTTCATGTCATATTAAATGGGCTGTTGCCCTCACCATTTCTTTTGCTGGGCACACGGTTTCTTCCTTGCTATACGCTAGCAAAACGACTGTTAACATGTTAGCGCTGGATCAAATATCATTGGAAATAATACACAACCTCGCAGCAAAAATGAACAATCTTTATCCGCATTAGCATGACAACAGTTTGCATGTTAACACTAATTACTCAAAATTGTGCCACTGTGAGAATAACATAGGTCAACACGGCAAGGCCAACTCTCAATAAATCCTTCACATATGCGGGTATCAGACAAGCAACGATTAGCAGGCCTATTCAAAAAGGATCTTTCATGTTGAAACATCACCTCCAACATCAGCGATACCAGTACAGACACAAAATGTTTTTGACTTGTATTTGTTTCTTTGTATTTATGCCAACATTATGATGAGTTCAAAGATGGATGCTGCCCTTGCTTGACATCATATGCAGTACATGATTTAATTCATAGAACAGGTGTGATGTCATGATTTGTTTTTATTTCATGTCTTTTTAAATGTAATATTTGCACCAGGTACTCTGTTTGCTGTGTTGACAACAACAATCGTTGCAAATACTGTCATGTAGATTGTATTATCTTGTGATATTATCCTTTATTTGCATGTAACATTAGTAGGCCAAGCATGTCCGGTCCAACTGAGGACTTTGTGTGCAGCACATCTGCAACAATTGGCAAAGTGTCTGAATGTATTATTGTGAATGACTGCTTTTTATTTTCTGAACACATTTCTAATGGACAAGGAGTACTTTCCAGACAGTCACCTGCATCGAGTAGTTTGCTCCAACTTTTACGAGGTTCTTGACCAGCTCGGCAGTATGTTGGAAGTGGATGTTAGCTGCAAAAAAACAAAAGGGAAACTGTGTAAGCCAGTTTCCTACGCAAATTATAGTGGTAGAATTGAAATGCATAAACAAATTTGGCATTCATTGCACATCAGAGAACGCATTCCTCTGAAAATTTGTGCATCAATTTAGGCAACACGCTTCCTCTTTTCCTTTTTTTGATTTAAAAACATTTGCCTCATTAGCTTTCAGGAATATTTGCTTCTTTGTGCTCAGCGGTGATGCAAAAACACATCCAGTGTATTCATTTTCGGACAATTTATTTTCACTTACCATCTGCTGTGCCGTGTACAAGCATCAGTGTCTGGTCTCTTAGCGCATGAACGTTCTGCAGCACACTGGATAACTGGAAAGTAATAAGGAAAAAAAAAAGAAAGAAGCCAAACTAAAATCATAAAGTTTTACATACCACACTTGGGTAATTAGATATAAGAGTGATGCTACACAACAAGAAACAAAGACTGCAGTAATTGGAAGCTAATAGATATGCCGCCAGACATGTTAGAGAAAATGTATGTCAGTTGTGATCAAGTGAAAAGGTTAATGGAAACGTATTTTCGTTCACACACACACACACACACACACACACACACACACACACACACACACACACACACACACGCACACAGTGATTAGGATGAAATATCATGAAGGGGTTGCAATACAATGTCACAAAATTAAACACACTCGTGAATATTTCTTTTTTTCCCCTCCTGCGTTCTACCTTTCATTGTTGAGGGAAAAAAAAACCTCTGATTGCGAAACATTCAACCTCGACACAAGCGGCCCGAGACAGCCTTTAAACTTTTAAAGACAAATACACCACTGAATACATTCCTCAAACTGCTAATTGGCAATCAAAGCTCTCTTATGGTGACAAGTGTAAGTGTGTGTATTGTGTGCACAGGGAACCTTGCTGCGAGCAGCTTTCAAAGAGAACTGACACACAAATGAGAACCTACCTGATATCTGCTGTCATCTCGCAAAGGCATGCCAAGATATCGCTCCGAGAAGGCTGATGCTATACAAATGACAAATTACACAATATTAACTGCATTTGAATACTGGAATGTTTCTTCCAAATGCATTGACGAAATTGCTTCCATGTGACACATTGAAATGTATGTTTTTGTACGGTTTCGAGCTCACCATACAACTTCAAATCTGTCACAGGTGACATCGCGCAAGCACATTTGAAGACACTATCTGTAGACTTGAGCAGCATTAATGCAATATAGGCTCCATACCCCTGGAAAAAAACAAAAACGAAAAAACCCAATCATTATACAACACGTGGAGAAAAACTGTTGCAAGATGAAAAAAAAAAAAAATCTAATTTATTGTCAAGGTTTGTAGCATTCATTTCCCCCTCCCTCCCACCACCAATTGTTTGTGAGAAATGCTAGGGAAAATGCAATTGGCAAAATATTTTTTCTGCATGCGAGAATATGGTCTCACCTTTCCAAAAATTGCTATCCGAGTCTTATCGATGTATGGAAAGTTCATCATGTAACTGGAAGAAAACAAGATAAACAGGCAGCCATTTGGAACACATAGAGAACAGCTTAAAATCAGCAGACAAAAACCATGACCCAGCAGCTATTGTTGATTTAGTTCCTATTTTGTGAGATTCTTATTTACACTCTGGAGACACAGAGAATCAATTATTCTTGTTATTTTATGTTAAATGTTCTGCCGAACGCTTTGTGACAGCTGCAGCTGTAATTTTTGTTTTTATTTAAACTTCATCCAAAACGCTTTGTTTTCCATCACTGGTACGCCTAATTTATAAGTATTCAACTGATCTACACAATGAAAATTTTGGATGCACCTAAAGCGGAAAAAACCCCAAAACAAACACCCTAAAATATTAGGAGGTAGACATTTTTAGCACTATAAATTAGTATATTTTAACAAACTTTTTTTTTTGACTGTTCTGAGTTGCTGTTGAGCTTTTTGCAAATACAGGTAGGTATGTCTGTTACATTGAGTGCTGCTATGTCCAAGTTCATGAAGGCAACACTTTGTGTGTGGTCACGAGTGACGGTGAGCTAGCGCATGTGCTCTTCCTGTTGTCAACCACGGGCATAAAAAAACTACTGTGTTTTGGTTGTGAATCAACGTAAATTCACTGACTAAGGCCTCGATAATCCACACTCGATGCTACAATATGTTAGCATAGCAAACAAGACACCGCATTACATCAAAGACACATGCTGTGTATGCTAATGCAAGCTTCCAGACAATGAGGGCCCCTGTCAGAAATGAAATTTGGGCATTTCCATTTTAGATGCTCCTTTTGCATCGAAGCGCTGACATGAAAGGGAGGATTTGCTTTTTCCCAAACAGCAAGACAGAGTTCCAGTATACATACAGTACTCTTAGACATTCATTGATAGCTCATGAGGGTATACTTTGACTCCTTATTGCTGTTAAACAAAACAAAAAAGTATATCTCAGAAACTTGTATATTTTAGAGAACACATGAGACTTGCTGAACAATTTTCCTAAAGTCGCATGACCCACAAAGTCAATTTCAAGATCAAATTATGCATAGGTAAAAAACGAAACTAAAATATGCACCAATCTTCAAAACAGATTTGGAATCGTTGAATTCCCGTCCCAATAATACCTGTTTTGTGAAACTTGATCCGCTAGTTTATGAAGGTTCAAAGGATAGCAGCCACACCCTTTTTTGCTGAAAAAGTCTTAATTCAATGGGCTGGAGCTCCCAAACCCCTGTTCTGACTGACCTAAAATTTTAGATTTACTGTTGTACCATCACCATCATCAAGTACATCAAAGGTTCATTAAAATCAAAATCTGCTTGGTTAAACCAACTGGGTGAGTTGGCATGGAATGATCTTCCAGTCAAGTAGAAAATGCACAACATTTCTAAACAAAAGGAAAGTCAACGCCGACATTTCATTTATAATACATTTGATGCAGCCTTTCTAGTCTAAAGGCGAGATTCAGATTAATATTGCGTTTGTGTAATATGACTTGAGCAGCAAAATCCACCCGTTTTTATCCATCTGAAAGGGCCGCCATTTTGCCACTTGCTGTCAACTGAAAATTACATCATGGGTGCTCAGGGCTCAGCGAACAACCAATTGGGGCTCAGCTTCACAAACCGAGGTGAAGTATTTTTACTTAGTTACTTGTCACCCCTCAGTACACCGCACACTAGAAGAGCTGTTAGAACACGCTGATTTATTTTATTTAAAGATCTTTTAAGATGTTAAAATTTGGAAAGTGTGTATTTTACTTTAAAAAAATGTATTAAAAGTTGGACACCACCCACATTCACAACCGAGCTTCTAGGACTCCACTCAGTGTGGGCTGGTACTATCTTTCTATGCTTCAGCACAGTTACTTTTCTCTCTCTGCATATTCATTCATTTTCTGATCCGCTTTATCCTCACAAGGGTCGCAGGAGGTGCTGGAGCCTATTCCAGCCGCCTTCGGGCAGTGGTTCAGGCACACCCTGAACCAGTTGCTGGCCAATCGCAGGGCACACAGAGATGAACAACCATCCACGGTCACACTCACACTCACACCTAGGGACAATTTAGAGTGTTCCATCAGCCTGCCATGCATGTTTTTGGAATGTGGGAGGAAACCGGAGTACCCGGAGAAAACCCAGGCAGGCCCGGGGGAGAACATGCAAACTCCACACAGGGAGACCAGAGCGGGGATTGAACCCAAGATCTCTGCACTGTGAGGTCAACGCGCTAACCACTAGACCACCGGGCCACCCTCCTCTGCATATTGCCAGCCTGCAATGACAGTGCTGCACGACAGCACATTTGCATCCACCTTTTGCATCAATGCGCTGTAAATTTGCTGACTGTGGCTTCTTTTCAATGGGTCTATTTATTTGTATTATACTGTGTCAATTATAATTAATAAACAGCAGTAGGACATATTGCATTGATTAAGGCCAATTGGCTGTCTATTCATGTACCGGGTACTCATAGAGGAGAAAAGTAGTCCCACCTTCTCTCTTTTGCAATCATGTGTGTATGTTGTTTAAACAGGACAGAATATTCACACTCGTCAAACAACACAGGTGTAACGCATCTAGACTCTGTGTGGATCAGTCAAGTTCTTCTGCATTACCCTCTCCAACTTTGCCTTGATCGCATTCTGAATGTGTGTAGCGCTTAAACAAATATGAAAATGCTATCCAATTTATCCGGTGACACTAATTATTTCGTCATATTATAGCTCGATGCGCACATACACCAAAATGGAAAACATACTCCACTGCTGCGAGTTGGTCCTGAACATCCACAGTGCCCAGTCTCTGGTGCACTTCATGCAAGACCCTCTGGCCCTGGAAGCCGCTACCCCGCCCATCGAGACGAGCCACAATAACGTTGTCTGAGCTGACCAGCACTGAGTCCCAGCTGAGAGCAAATTGGTCACTCACAGCCTGACCACCAGGGAAGCCATCGCTGTGGAAAACAAATAAAATGAGCAAATTCCACTTCGTTGAAGAAGAAACCACGGAAGACTGCAATCATAAAGTCCTACTGCTTGAACAGTAAACCAGTCACTCTATGATTTAGTTGATGTCCTCAAAATATTTCCTTGAAAAGCTCAACTTGTAATTGAAAGATGTTCACTGTTGGATTACAGGTTGTGCTTAAATACTGGATTTAATTACCATGTTTTCCGCACTAAAAGGCACATCTAAAAGCATTCAATTTTCTCAAAAGCCGATATAATCCGATGCGCCTCATATGTGGATCAATATTTTGATTTTTGGACGTAGTATTTTAAATGTTTTGTAAAGCATTTTGTTACAGCTGCAGCAGTTGTGAAAGGTATTTATAAATAAAGCTATATTGTATTGTACTGTATTCCTTCAGCATAGCGCCATCTGGTGGATGCATAACACAACTGCTGTCACCGATGTTGGCTTCGATTCTATGTGCCTTACAATGTCCGTATACATATGAAAACAGTTGTAAAATAGGCCATTCATTGTTGGTCTGCCTTATATTCCGAAGCGCCTTATAGTGCGGAAAATACGGTAACTTTTTTCAAGCGGCATATTAATGTTAGTTATAATGCTGGTCACGGTGCCATCGGTGATGCATCACCATCACATTGTGTCAGGTACATACACAACCAAGAGGAGCCCGTAGTGACGAGATTCTGAGAAGTCAGGCGGATAGGAGATTTTCAAAGGTAAATCTATACAAAAGGAAAAGGAGTAACCATTACATGAGAAATTCTCAGTGGTTATCAGGATGCACTATGTGAGCCTTTACAGAGTTCTTTATTTTTTTTTCACCAAAATGTCCGATTGAAACTGTCCTGAAGTCAGTCAGCTGGATCCTTTTGATGTTCAAGGCTGCCTTCAGCACCGAGTTGTTCTCAAGAATAAAGTAATCTGAAAAAGCAAGGGAATGTGAGGTGAGTCATTCACTACATGCAAATATGGAAGCAGTTGAGGATTTAATGGGTTGCAGGGCTGGATAAATACCAGGATTCAATGCGAAATAAATGAGGCAGTCCTAAATGTTCTATTTTTAAATAAAAAGTTATAGCAACGAGAGGAAATACACTATGTCTACAGATGGTGACCTCTGCGGCGTTCCCACTTCTCCAAACCGCAGATATTTGTGCAGGGACGAAATGAAATGGAATTCAGCCAGATTTTCTCATGGAAAAAGCCACAATCAATAAATGTGTCATTATCGAACCACCAGAGGTTTTTAGTTACCAGCTGTGGGTGGAAGCCATATCTAAATAACCCTGAGCAAATGACTTTTCTCCAGCACAGCTGTTAACTGATAGGCAGGTGTGGAGGTCATCCACAAAGTATTTTTATCGCTTTCATTTTTCCGCATTTTGGGGTGTTGCAAGTTGGAATTAATTCATTTTCGACATCTAATTTCTACACAAAACACCCTATTATGTTATGCGAGGGAGAGTTGCAGACCCAAATGCAAGAAAATTATGTAGTTGTGCTCTCAAAAGTATTTAATTCCAAAAAATTAAATCGAAGAAAACAAGGCACTTTGGAATCATCACACTAAATTAACTGAAATTCAAAGTAATAGTCAAAGTAAGAAATAATCACAAAATTCACTGAAACATGGATGAGACAATCCAACAGAGACAAAAAGGAAGCAGGGAACTAATGCTGCACTCGAGGAAGGTAAGAACTCATATTAATCCCATTCGGATTGTCCCAGTTCTAACCTCAAAGAAAATGTAAACAACAGAGATGCTTGATTACAATAAATTGTTTTAGTTCTGGTTCATCGCATTTTGATCTCAAGCAAACCTTTATAATTTGTCTTAATTTGTAAAAAATACCGGAATACCGGTACTTTACTTTCAAAGCATTTCATTAATTTCACCAAATAACTTGAAGTGGGTAGAGAACGGCATACTTTCACACAATTTAGTACAAATCAGGTTGTGTTATGTGTGTATGTAAGTTATTTCGAATGACTAAATTAATGTAATAATAAATAAAAATAGAGAAATATCTGTTTACAATCTTGTAAATTATGTTTTGCCATTGACGGCCTGTCTCCATTGTCAAGTGATGTCAGATTGAAGACAGTCGGTGCAGTCAGGGTCCTTTTTTTTTTTCTTCAACTTCATAACTCACCCCTCACAGCTCAAAGGGGAATTCCGGTGTACTTTTCCTGGTCGGAGGTCAGAAAAGTCTGACTTCCCACTTTCCTCAAATACAGAATAAATACAAACAAACTGACAAGTTAATGAGGAACACCTGGACAAGACACGAGTGGCTGAAGGAGCTGATTTGGAAGACACAAGGGACCGTGTTGACAAGCACAAGATCAAATGCCGGTGAATGAGAGGGTAGCCTCCCTCCGCCTTTGGGTGGGGGGACGGGTCCTGACTGTTGTTTGCTCCTATGCACTAAACAGCAACTCAAGAGTACCCAGCCTTTTTTGAGTCCTTGCTAGAGAGCGCTCCTTCTGGGGACTCCCTCGTTCTGCTGGGGGACTTCAGTACTCACGCGGGCAATAATAGTGAGACCTGAAGGGTATGATTGAAAGGAACCCCCCACGATCAGATCTTGAGTGGTGTTCTGTTATTGGACTTCTGTGATCGTCACTGATTGTCCCTAATGAATACCATGTTCAAACATAAGGGTGTCCCTATGTGGACTCGGCACCAGTTCGATGATTGATTTTGTGGTCATATCATCGGATTTGCAGCTGAATATTTTGGACACTCGGGTGAAGAGAAGGCTGGAGCTGTCAACTGATCACCACCTGGTGATGAGTTGGCTCAGATGGTGGGGAAAGATGCCAGTCCGACCTGGCAGACCCAAGCGTATTGGCAGAATCCCCTGTCAAAAGGAATTTCAACATTTGCCTTCAGCAGAGCATTACCCACATCCCGGGATGGCGGGCGACATTGATTCCCTTTGGACCATGTTCCGCACCTCTATTGTTGAGGCTGCCGATCTCAGTCGTGGCCATAAGGTGGTTGGTGCCTGTCATAGCGGCAATCCCAGAACTCCCTGGTGGATATCGGCAGTCAGGATTGCCGTCAAGCTGAAAAAGGACTCCTATCAGGCCTTAATGGTCTGAGGGACTCCGGAGGCAGCTGATGGGTACCAGCTGGCCAAGCCGAACACAGCTTTGGCGGTTGCTGACACAAAAACTCAGTGAGGAGTTCCGTGAATTTTGGGCGGCTTCGAGGAAATTCTGGTCCACCATCCGACGTCTCAGGAGGGGGAAGCAGTGCACCATGAATACTGTGTATAGTGGGGATAAGGTGCTGCTGACCTTGACTTGAGACATTGGTGAGTTGGTGGGGAGAATACTTCAAAGACCTCCTCAACTGGACCAACATGCCTTTCTTCGAGGAAGCAGAGTCTGGGGATTGTGAGGTCGGCTCTCCTATATCTGGGGTTGAAGTCATCGAGGTGGTTAAAAAGCTCCTAGTTGACAAAGCCCTGGAGGTGGATAAGTTTCTCAAGGCTCTGGATGTTGTGGGGCTGTCCTGGTTGACACACCTCCGCAACATCACCTGGTCATCGGGGAGAGTGCCTCTGGATTAGCAGACCGGGGTGATGGTCCCTCTTTTAAGAAGAGGGATCACACTCCTCAGCCTCCCTGGTGAGGTCTATTAAGGGGTGCTGGAGATGAGGGTCCGTCGGGAGATACAAGTGGCCAAAATAAGTTTCCTCCACAGGGTGTTCGAGCTCTCCCTTAGAGATAAAGTGAGAAGCTCGGTCATCCGGGAGGGGCTCAGAGTCAAGCCGCTTCTCCTCCACATCGAGAGGAGCCAGATAAGGTGGCTCGGGCATCTGATTATGATGTCCCCTGGACACCTCCCTGTTGAGGTGTTCCGGGCATGTCCCACTGCCAGGAGGCCCCGGGGATGACCCAGGACACGCTGGCCTGGGAACGCCTCGGGATCCCCTGGGTAGAGCTGGAAGAAGTAGCTGAGGATAGGGAAGTCTGGGCTTCCCTGCTAAAGCTGTTGCCCCCGCCACCCGACCCCCGGATAAGCGGTAAAGAATGAATAGATGGATGCATTTGAATTGTTTTCCTCTTTTTTTTTAAACCTAAACAGGACTTAATCTTAAGAAACCCGAAACGAAGCAACATTGCTCGGTTCGGAGATGGACATATATTCCCTTACTTGTACTATTGAGGCTGTGTAAGATCACCATAGGTGTTCCAGGACCTGAAATGAAAATAAATAAATAAATAAATAAACGTGTAATTCATGCTTGATCAAGTGATTCCGACAAATGTTTCATAGATGGTAAAATTACAAATTGTCTTTCTTTTTATTTCTACAAATGTGTGCTTTTGTTGCTGCCTGTCTTGGCCACGTCTCCCTTGAAGAATGAGGGTTTTAATCTCAGTGCATCCAACCCGATTATATAAAATGTGAAGATTGGGGAAGGCAATTAAAAAACAAATATATAAATAAATAAATAGCTTTAATTATGGAATGCTTACTTAATCATGTCACCCACGGCCACCACACGCTATCTTTAGCGGGTAAACTAAGAAAAGTATACATGTTGTATTGTTCGTTTTTGAAAGAGAGGGACATTGCTGAAGTCACCAATCGCCAGCATGAGTGTGCTGGGATGCTCAAATTGTAATCCTGCAATCACATCAAACTGTATGATGCCGCTCGCATGGCCACAGGAGCACAAATTTGAATGTAAACAAACAGCTGCAGTTTTCAAGCAGCTGTTAGTTTGTCTGTTGGCAACTACTGTAGCACAAATACAGAAGGAACAGTTCAAATCTTCTGTCACATTCAGCCCTTTCTCTCATTTCGCTTTACCCAAGAAAAAAACTATTTTTGGATTTTCTGCTTTTTTTTTTTTTTTTAACAAAAACAGGAGCATTTTATTTATTATTACCTTTTGGTGAGATGTATTTGCTTTGACCTTTGCATTGTAATGCCCACTTGTGGCTCAGTGAAATTGATTCGTTATGTTCGTACTTGCATGAAAACATTCTATGTATTAAATGAATCTCATGAGTGGAATTATATAAAATTGTTTATCCTGATGAAAGAGCAGGCGTTATGTGAACTTTGCCAACTGAAAACAAGCTTTCTTCATGTTTTATTGCTTTCGGGAGAGGGAACAATGTTATTGTAAAATAAATCATTACTCCAAAGGCCAAATGCTTGAAACACTCTCATCCGCCCAAATAAATTTAATCCACAAAAAACAACATGAAGAGTCATCCTCGACTGATCGACTCATTCTTAACACAATATCCTGAAAGCAATTATACAAGTTAGCACAAAGTGATTTGTTTTTTGGCGGCCCAGTAGTCGAGTGGTTAGCCCGTCAACCTCACAGTGCAGAGGTACTGTGTTCAATTCCAGCTGTGTGGAGTTTGCATGTTCTCCCTGGGCCTGTGTGGGTTTTTTCCAGGTAATCAGGTTTCCTCCCACATTCCAAAAACATGCATGACAGGCTGATTGAACACTCCAAATTGTCCCGAGGTGTGAGTGTGAGCATGGATGGTTGTTCGTCTCTGTGTGCCCTGTGATTGGCTGGCAACCGGTTCAGGGTGTCCCCCGCATGCTGCCCGGAGACAGCTGGGATAGGCTCCAGCACCCCCTGCAACCCTCGTGAGGATAAGAGGATCGGAAAATGAATGAATGAATGATTTGTTTTTTTTCAAGCAAAAGTTTTTGGATCAGAGTTTATTAAATCCCAGCTCTAACACTGCGACGGATTGTCTTTGGACTGTCCTAAATCTAATAAAAATGTAACCAACCTACCATGTGAACTGAAAGGAATAGATGGAGTTGCTAAGGTAGCCATTTTGCTGTTATACAGTTGTCACTTGTCAATTACTCATCTTCCAATTTGCCGGGATTATGGTACAAAGATCAAGTATTTGGCTGAGATACAAGGTAAAATTAAGACAATTCTTTGAGACCATCTTCATGAGACTTTCAGGGTTTGTGTCCGAGCAGGAGCGGGAGCCCAACTATTCAAGATTCTCACTGATATCTACAGTAGATAACTGAAATCTGTTGTAGGCTGATCATATTTGCAGAGCAGTAACAATGAGAATCCCCACTGGATGGTTGACCTCAGGTCCCTGACAATCTAGGCCGGTGGTTCCCAACTTTTTTTGTGGATTGCTTTATATCTGTGTGTTAGAGAAATCTATGAGCAAAATTGTATCATGTTTAAAGTTTCATTTAATTTGGGCACATCTAAACGTTTGGGTGCGTATCCAGCACCTCCAAATGCCTGTGCACATAGGCGCCGGCCACCTGGCCGGAGGGCTGTTGAAGTCCACAATTAGCACGTCAATGCAGGTGGGCAATCACAGGGGAGGGGGCGAAACTCGGTCACAAAAGGGGAATGAATAATTTGGGAACAGGGGTTGAACAACAAAAGACGAGTTGAGAACACCCGTCGCGCCCAGGCGACATTTGTCGTCCGCAAAGTCTGCAACATGTTAATTCGATGTAGACCAGACAGAAAAGGCGCCAACGTACTGGTGGTTCAAGTTTAAAAAAACAGGTAACCAATCACCACCGAGGGGCCGGACCGGGGGTGCGGTATGCAAATGTCGGGGGCAGTGTTTTCCTTGTATGTTACAATAAAAGTCGGAATTGGCGGGAAGGGAGCTCGAGAGTGTGATCATCGGAGCAACTACCGTCGTTCGCTCTCAGAGATCCCCTCCCGCCGATATTGAAGACAATTTTCCTGTGTGCCGAGTCATTTCTTTAACTTTGTCCGAGAAAATCTCTGACACTGTGTCAATGAGCAGTCTGATAAATGAAATCGATGCTATTCGTCTGTGGACTAAAATGATTGATGGTGGCATAGTCGTCTGAGAGTTGGCTCAAACAATCCATTCCAAATAGCATGAGTCCAGCTTCAGCCTTTAAAAGCCACTCATATTCCGTCACAGATAGTACAGTACAGTACAATGTGACGATTGTGACTCCAAATGAACAAATATAACACTGTATGGATGATGCTCAACATGAATATTTGGTCGCTACTTTGCGTATTTTGTCTATTGCAAGGGATGGTCTGGAATGTAACCCCCATGAAAAACAAGGTATTACTGTCACCATATTACTATTTCTAGTGTTAACACAATTAACGGTATCCATATTGTTTCCTTTTCTCTTCCCCAATCACTTCATTCGATTATTTTTTTCTCGTTCCCACTGTGTCTGCTCTCTGTCCATCTCCACTTTGTCTCTATCTCAACCAGGCGAGGCAGACCTTAATTAGAGAGAACTCCCTCTAATTAAGGTTTCTCTCCTTCCGTCGCCTATTACTTGCTCATGTAGGGTTCACTTGGTTTTCTTAATGTATGGAGAGCATGATTTAAGACTTCAGGTAACGTCTGTTATGAACTGATACTGTAGAAGTAAAATTGGCTTAAACTTAATGTTTTTCTAACCAGCTGCACCCAGGCCAAATAGTATAGATTGGCTGTAAATTCATTTCAAACTGTGATATTTATGTTCAATTTTATCCACCTCCTCATGTGTGATAACGTACCTTTACAGTGAAGGATAATGTGCTGGTTCGTGGGGCTTAGAACAGCATCAAAGTACAAACAGTGCGCCTTATTGAGCTCGCATGTTAAACACCATCGTGGGAACAATCCAACAGTTTTCACGCTAAAAGAAAGAGAAAATCGGTAAGACAATGGGAACACCCAAAAGCGCTAAATACTATTCAGTTAAAAATCGTTCATCCATTGCTTTGCAGCCATGATAAGGAAAAGAAATGCACTGAGGTGAAAACGAATATTAATCAATACATAGTGTAGCAATACATAGTGTAGCAAAACTGAAAATAATAAGCAAATGTAATCCTTGTATGATAGGATACGTTAGCGGGTTTAATAAAAACTTGTATTTCTACATATTAGCATCATTATCTCCACATAAATGCAATTAAGAAAGAAATAATAGGACAAGACACAAATGAAAAACAAACCTGTAAACTTGCCGCCTTCGAGGTGAACCCTCCGTACTGAGAAAATAACTAGAAAAAGATAACAAAAAAAACATCAAATAAGCTTCCTTCATGCTTTCAGAAACAAACAATATTATTTTCTTTTTTTCGAGATATTCGTATCTGTCTCATGCAAATATATTTCTACAGTCATCAGTTCAACTTACAGGTTATCAGAGCTTTCATCATAGCCAAGGATTTTTGTCACCTCCCAGTTTCCTGACGTTAAATGCCGGACTTCATTTTCATCTGCTCGGAACTGAGATGAGCACAAGATATGTGGCTATTAGTACTTATTTATAAATTAGGAGTGCCTATATGATACATTCTTGTTTTGTTCATGCATGATCTTATGCCTGGACAGATTCCTCTGCAGAGTGCAACAATCTGACAGGTATGCTTAGTGTGTGTGTGTGTGTGCGTGTGTGTGCGTGTGTGTGTGTGTGTGTGTGTGTGTGTGTGCGCGCGCGCGCGCGCATGTGTGTGTGGTATGAAGGCACATGTACGGATTTTTATTTTTTAATGATGTGAATTTTATTTCTACCATCAATGTGACCTATAACCTGTACAAGTCGATGGAAAAAGAAAATATTTTCAAGAGGGGAAGTAAAAATAAACTGTGGTTGCACAGTGAACACATCCTCTTATATTTGGGATGTGTGTTAGTTTCACTTGGTTAGTATTTTCCAGAAGAAAGTTGCTGTGACAACCAATGTGCTGTTCGACTTCAAAGATTGAATGGGAACCGGTTAGCGTGGAGTGGTGGTTTGTTCGATTGACTTACAGTCAACAGGTTTGAGTTTCTAATCTGAGCCGTCAGGCCTTTGTGTTCTTCCCGTGTATCAAAAAATATGCATCATCATGTCGGTTAATTGGAGCCCATAGGTATGAATGTAAGTGTGACAGGTTGTTCCATGTTGTAAATGTGTCCTGCAATGCTGGCCACCAGTCTAGGGTTCACTACTCCTCTCGTCCCAAGTCGGCTGGGCAAGTATCTTACCTGAGACCTCATGTGAGCAAGTGAGCAAGAAAAAGGAGAATTATTGGGAACTTGTATTTACTTGTGTCCCGTTTCCAGAGTGCCTCAACTAACAGGGTTGCCATCACTCACAAATATATGAGTGAGTCATCTCCTGTCTGGTAGAAGCAACCAAGCTACAATATAGTGCCGCAAAAAAAAAAAGAAAAAAAAAAAGAAAAGATAGAAAGTATAGTGGTCAAGAAAGTATGGCTGCCACACCAAATGTGTCATTTTTATGGAGACACTTTATTTGTTCAATCTTAAGACAAATAAAACTTCACCTGGGTGTTAAACATGGCGATGTGATGAAACTCTCCACGTCCCCCTTGTTTCACTGGAACAGTCAAGAAGAATCTTTTGCCATCTTTCGAGAACACTGGATCTTGGTTCTCCAGAAAACAAAGAAACATCACATTTACAGACAGCATAAGCCAAACCTGAACTTCTACTTGAGATACATTTGACATGAAAGATAATGCAAAGCGACTACACCGCGATGGTGGTACGTACTTTGTTACCGGGCACAACGTGATTTATGGAATCGGATGGTTGATTTTAAGTCTTTAACCCCTTTCATGCACCCTGTAACCTGATAACATGATAAGCTGTACGTTGTAGTAACCACTGTCCCTGAAAGGGTTAAAAGTGAACGGCGGATGCAAATCTGTACTTGTGAGGGCAAAATGAGAGGCACGGGAGCAAAATTTTTTCTAATTTTCAATGTATCTGAGCAATCGCACAAAGTCCCTGATCATTCCTTGGACCACGGTGAACAAGATTAGACATGCACACGTTGGCCAAACCAATGGCACACGTGTCCAAAACCTGACATCATCGTAGGTTATACCATGTAGATATGTTACACAAAATTTTAAACCACCTACATATTAAAACAGAGGACATCGATGAATATACTTTTGTGAGATGGATAAAATGAGCCAAGGTTTGTATGAATTGATTGAATGAAAGGATTTATGGATTTTATGCCACTTTGTGTGTCGTGAAACCAGCCGAAATTGACTTGATTATTCAGAAATTTATGTTAGTGAATGGGAATTTTGTAATAATCGCACATTCTTAAAATAAATTATCGCGTCAATATTTCCGATTTTAAAATTCAAAATCTATGAACTGAAGAGTGACATGAGTGACTATTTTGTGAGTATGAAAATGGTTGAAAAGGTAAATCATATTAAATGGTGCATAAGGTTATTACAAATATCAAGAAACATGTTGAGATGCTTCACTTGTAATAATCCTCAAGGATTTCCTCGCAACAAGAAATTACATGAAAACTGTTGGCAGACGTCTGGCGAACGTTTGCGACCTTGGACGTACCCTGATGAACCCTAATGAAAACACAACATTCACCAACTTTGCAAACACCCGCAAAAGTTTGCCCCTCAGTGTGATAGGGGCTTTACCTCGGCCAGTAAATACGATAATTCTCAAATTCACACTGATTAGATTAGACTCTAACAGTAGCCAACCCGCGGCTCGAGAGCAGCATGCGGCTCTTTGGCTGGTTCAGTGCGGCTCCCGGGCTTTCACACGACAAGCGTCGAAAACGCCTCGGCGGTGGCAATGTCATTCAAACAACGGCGCTAAAAACACAGAACGTAGTACGTCAGCCTATCATCAATCCCGTTACTTGATTGACATAGTGGGCAACCAATCAGATGGCTGAATCACCGCTTATGCGCAAACAGAGGCGCTAAGCGCTAAGATAATCAGCGAATTACCTCTGTTTATAAGGCAGGGGTGCCCAATACGTCGATCACAATCGACCGGGAGCCAGCGGATTGGTTCCAAGTCGACCGCAAGGGGTGGGAGGAGGAAATGGGGGGGAAAAAAAGATTTGTGTCTTTGTGTCTTTAGCTTTCATTCATGTTCGGGTCGTTCCGGTGGTTGCTCATCATGGCGTGCGTGCATATGTGCGCGAGTGCATGGTTGGGCACCCACGTACGTCTGCGTGTGTGTGTGTGTATGTGTGTGTATGTGTGTGTGTGGGTGTGTGTGTGTGTGTGTGTGTGTGTGTGTGTGTGTGTGTGTGTGTGTGTGTGTGTGTGTGTGTGTGTGTGTGTGTGTTTGTGTGTGCGCGCGCGCGCGAGGACGGGACGCCCATGTGTATGTGACTCTGCAATAACACAGTAAAAAAAATGGCTCTTCGTCTCTATCTGGTTGGGCACCCCTGGATTAGAGGATGCTAAACATTAATCTTCAAAACCTTTGGTGGTCAATATTAGTAGGCTAAATTTAGCTATCAGATCATTGTAACAAATTTAAAAGGAGGACAAAGGGGGTCTATATTACAGAACTCACATTTTCTCAAAGATGAGGAAAAGTACAGGGAAGTGACGGTTCTGTGAATATTTTTCATGATGAAGGCAGCGTGGGGTTGCAATAATTCAGTGACTCGGACCACACATTGGCCATCGACACTTCATAAGTGCGTCGCAGTAATGTGCTTCAATTGTGCAGAGATATTCCCAAGCATCAGACTTCTCCATTTGGCTATGAGGGGATTGGTGAGATGATGACTGGGTAGTTTTGTTCCTTTTCAACATACACGTATGTGAGCAATTTATGTATTTATTTATTTTAATCAAGTGTATCTCCGGGGGCCCATTTTGAGGTATTGATGGAGAAACAAAGCATTATTGTAAAGTTTGATGAATGACATTTTCGTTTTTCTGTCGAGTCTTGTACTTCCATAACAACTGCGCTGGTTAATTTTAATTCAAGGCGCCATGTTAAGAACGGATGTGACATCAAGGCGTTGACTGGGTCATCCTTGCAACGTCCGGTTGCTGTTGAGTGATATGCCAGATTGCTGACCTAACGATGTTAATCAGTCTTTCTTGTTGTTGTTGTTGTTGCTGTTTTTCTTGTTGTGAACATGGCATCCAATTGCGGATATTTACGAATTAATTTATTTTATTTAAACAGAAAAGATGTAACCTGACCCGCGTCACAGACAGGTTTCTGCCTTCGCTTGCGCTGGCTGATTATTATGCGCTGCGCATCACCCTCGTCTGACACTGACTCAGCAACACGGACGTCCGTCAGTGACGATTGATGGACCTGCCCACCTCAGGAAACTGGTGAGGCTAACTCCGATTCATCCAAATCTGACCAAGACAATACCATATTGAATTGGAGAGAGATGGCCGGGCCAAGACGGTTTTCAGCACTCCTACGCCATGGCTCTACTTCTTTGCAGTCAAGTATTGGCTACAGGCATTCGCTCCCATGGCATATCGACAAATAGGTTCCGCAAGGTACTATAAACTTGCTTGAATACAACCAGTGAAACCAATCATGCGTTTGGATGCAGTTGTCCTTGATAAACGAGATATATTTTTCCTTCTGACCACCGGAGGTAAACTTTAGATATCCTCAGTGGGTGTTACATCCGTAATACTGCACTTGTCACCATGCTAATAAACAAGCCACAACTTGACGTTAGTCGTACAATTAGCAGAGAACAAGTCCTCCATAGGGGTACTGTAATGTTAATAGTGAGGCACACTCACATTAATATCACTGTAAAGAAGCCGCGTATATGACTCGAGACAAGGTAAAATTGACCAAGTGGGCATCTCTGAGCAAGGGTCTGTGTGACAACGATTATACGACACAGTGTGCATTCAAGATGCTCCATTTTTTCCACCGTTTTCTGTTTTTTTTTTGGACAATTTTTTTCTTACTGCTCCGTCAAACCGTTAGGGTGGTTCTGTTTGTGACCAACAGATTGCACTGTAGGGCTCCCCCTGCAGTGGCACACCTGTTGGTCATTGTGTCATCAGTTTGTGTTTTGTTGAAAGGACTCCCTGTCCGACCAGTCAGTGTTGGGTCATTTTTTGTATCTACTCGTGTCTGCTTTGTGTTTGTATTTTTGTTAAATGCCTTTTGTTAAGTCCACCCTGCTCCTCCCTGCCTCCCTGCTTTTTGGGGTCTGCTACTCTACTATCACTCCAACATGATAGAATGACCCGACGAAGACTGGACCCGCAGGACCGGAGCCCTGGTCCGACTGCCACTAATCCTCGTTCCGGCAGCGCAAATGTTGCGGCTGCCACCCCCGTTCCGGCAGTGCAAGTGACGCGGCTGCCATCCTCGTTCTGGTGGCGCAAGTGATGCAGCTGCCACTCCGTTCCGGTGGCGCAAGTCCTGCGTCTGCCACCCCGTTTTGGCGGCGCAAGTCCTGCAGCTGCCACTGGGCGACTTAGGGACGTCTGGGATCCGTCCCTTCAGGAAGGGGTACTTTTAGGGTGGTTCTGTTTCTGACCAACAGGTGGCACTGTAGGGCTCCTCCTGCAGTGGCACACCTGTTGGTCTTTGTGTCATCAGCGAGTGTTTTGTTAAAAGGACTTCCTGCCCGACCAGTCGGTGTTGGGTCATTGTTTGTCATTGTTTTTATCTGCTTGTGTCTGTTTCATGTTTGTATTTTTGTGAAATGCATTTTGTTAAGTCCTCCCTGCCTCCCTGCTTTTTGGGGTCCTGTACTCGACCATCATGCAAGCCTTGACACAACTGCATGTGGAAAATCAACTTTTCAATTTCTTTGTATGAGGCGATTATGGAAATTCAAAATGCCAATACATGTTAGGGTTGTTGTTTTTTTTTTTATGCGTTGTATACATGTGATGTTCTGTTGACTGAGTGAGAGCAGTGCGCAATTGTGCACACACGCAGTTTAGAGGGAGCATTGCAAAGGAGAACAGACATTTTCCTTTCTCTGAAAAAAATTGCAAGAGGGACGCAAAGTATCAAATTATTTTATATGAAGAAAGAAAGTTAATACAATACTGCATTCTGAGAAGAAGAAAAAAAAAGGGATTACCTGTTTGGAAAGCCAGAGCTCAGAATTTTCTTCATGTCTCTGGAAAAGACACAAAGAAAAATGTGTATGTGTAAGTTTTTCTTTCTTTTTTCAAAAGTGGAGTTTTCCTTTCTATCAACAAATGAACGGATCACATGGCGAAGCCCGTAACCTTTTCTGGGGATTCTATTCTCACTTCTTATTTCATTCCGATAACAGTAGCAGGCATGAGAGAGGGTCTTAAACTGGAAATTGCTGCCTGCTGAGTGCGCTCGGTATAAAAGCTGGGACTTCTTGATTTGAGTTCAGGGGCAAGTCTAGTTCACTGTGTTTGGGAATTTGGCAGGATGTGCTGTGGCAGGACGAGGACACAATTTGGTGACTGAAAAATGACTAAACTTTAGACCATTAAAAAGCAGGACTAAGTTGCGGTGCAGGTGGTGGTTTGGTGTCGGCACAGGCAGACAGATTCTGAGTTTCTGAGATGACCTACGCACATGTACAGAAATAAGAAAATAACGTTAACTCCACCCACGCACATGGTTAGACCAAGCTCTTCGCTAGACTTGTGCTGGACACAAAATTAGTGCCCCCTGTGTTCAGCTGTTATGTTTTTGTCATCTGCTAACATGTACTATAAAATATAAGAAACATAATAATATACAAAGTAACAGAAAGGTGAAAATTTATGAAAACAAGACACAAAACAGTTGAATCAAATCGGAAAAACAAAAATAGATTCTGCTTTTGAAATTAAAATGTCACCATCTCATGACTTTGTCTCTCTCTCTCTCTTTCTCTCTCTCTCTCTCTCTCTCTCTCTCTTTATACACACACTACTCACACAAAAGGTAAGGGATATTTGGCTTTTGGATGAATTTCATGACGAACCTAAAATGCGTTCAAACATTTCCAGGTGAACTTAATGTGGCCTTCTTGAAGCTTTTGAATGCACATGTCCAGCTGTTTCATTTTTCAGTTCTTTTTGCACAAATTGCTGTTCTGTAACGAGGAGCTTTGCGGCAAAATTAACAACATCCTTAAATCGACCATTAGATGTCCTGGTTCAGTTAGATCTGCTGCATAAACAGTCATCCTCATCACGCTGTTCACATTTCGACATCATGAGACCAAAACGACACCTAATGATGGATTAACAGTACCTTGCCATTATGATGCTTCAAACAGGATGTGCTCTGATGGAAGTGACCCCTGAGCTAAGAATGTAACAGAGATCATCAGCAGGTTGCAACAGAAATACAGAGAGACTGGAAGAGTCACAGAAAGATGTAGAAGTGGATGTCCTTTGGCCACATCTCATGCTGATGACCACTCCATTGTGAACAATGACCTGATAGAATCGGATGATGAATGCAACTCAACTCCAGGCACGTTTAAGGGAGGCGAGAGACCATTCGAAACTGTTTACATCAACCTGGTCTGCATGCTAGACGACCTGCAAGGGTACTTGACCACACCACTGGGCAGAGGCATCATCATGTTGCATGGGCCAGGGAGCATTTACGCCGGACGAGGGACCAGTGCGCCTCAGTGCTGTTCTCTGATGAAAGTCGATTCATGTTGAGCAGAAATGATGGCCGCCAACAAGGCAAGGAGAGCGCTCTACATTAGCCACTGTTGTCACCAGATGAGCTTTTGGTGGTGGTGGGGTTACAGTGTGGCAGGTGTGTCCACTCAGTACAGAATTTCCCTACACATTGTGAATGGTACAGAGACAAGCCCATACTACCTGTACAACATTATTAATCCAGTGACTGGGCCCCTACATGAACAACACAGGCCTAATTTCATCTTCATGGACGAAAATGCTCTAGCTCATCGAGGTCACATCATCAGGGAATGGCTGTTGGAGGCTGGTGTACCTCAAATTCAATGGCCTCCACTTTCTCTAGACCTGAATCCTATTGAAAACATGTGGGATCCGCTGAGGCACTGGGGAGAGGCTCGAAACTCTGCACCACAGAGCCTCAATGACCTGAGGGCCACCCTTCAAGAAGAGTGGGATGCCATGCCTCAGCAGACAATAAGTCGTCTTGTGAAAAGAATGACATGTCGTCGTCAAGCTGTAATTGATGCTCAAGGGCATGTGATGAGTGATTGAGATGTTTACATTTTTGACATTTTTTGTTGTGGTGTACCCACCATTGCTTTTAACGTTTGTTTCAATTAATTGTTTGAAATCACCGGTGCATACTTCTACTCAAATGTCCTACTTTCATGACATGATATCACTGTAGCGTGAACTTTTTACATTTTCCATAAATTTCACCTGAAAGCCAAATATTCCGAATTTTGTGTGTGTGTGTGTGTGTGTGTGTGTGTGTGTGTGTGTGTGTGTGTATA